CACTAATTAGTAACCATTGTGGTAAATACTTTTGTAGTTTACCAATCTGGTAAATACCTACAAAATATATATACTAATATACATAGTTTTATATAGTATTTTTTGTAAAGTTGCCATGAAATCACTTATATAGCAACCATTGTGATAAATACGTCAATTATTAGGAAATGTTTACGACATCGAAATACCGATTGTATCAATATATCATTAAGTACTTGTTTTCGAATTAATAGAAATTCTATGTAATATACTATAAATTGAATTTTTTTGTCACTAAGAGGAATTTTATTGATGAAATGGATTGTTTATACAGATGACACTTTCTTAAACGAAACCAGCATACGTCAGAGTTTGTAATGGATACGCGTCATCGTCATTTAAGTACTTACATGTTAAAGTTTTAATAAGACTTTAGTGACCTTAAAAGAGTAGATGTATCATTCAGAGAAAGTTGAAGATATTTACGGAATACAATAATAAGGAATGGAAAATTTGCAAGAAAATATTTTATACATATTGCCTATTCATGTGTCTTTCAAAGCTTAAAATTGCAAAGATCCGAAGCGTACTACGGGGTTAAGGAGTACTGCGCCAGAACGCAGAAATGCTCTTTTCACTGCTTGGTGGCAGAAATGGGTATGATGGCAGCACTTCCCTGGACGAATTCTTACACAAGGGGTTGTATTGCTATTAGCCGAAAGTTTTCCACACGGGCATAGTTGCTGTGGTTAATATGGAAGACCCTTAACCGTTTCAGGACACAAGTTGGGCGTTCTATAGCTTTCACACTTGCTTTCGTTCCTATAGTGACTGCAACAAGTTGCACCCGGGAATACCTGCTAAAGGCAAACAGATACGGGCATCAGTGGCTGCTTACTGGGCCAAACAATTTTTACATCGGTTCGTTATTTTATTGGTTTTTGTTATTGACTCGACAAGAAGAAGAAGACTAAAATTGGTGATCTAAGTTAGTTCGTGAGCATAGAGCGGGTTCAGAAATATCGGGAAAATAAAAAGAAGTCCACGAAAATGTTAAAATCTGTAATGTTGAAATTGGTTATCTAAAAATCATGCGCAGTAAATTTATACTCATTACACTTTTATTTCACATGGCATAGGTACTTACTATCGCACAGTGTACAGTAAAGAAATCGTGGCCAGTATCGGCTCCTTGTGGAACTTCGCGATAAGGCATGCCCGTTTCCTTAATTGATTGCAAATATTGCCTGTACCTACGGTACCGTAGATTCAAACGTCATATAACCATAATTTAATGAATGTACTGTCATTGCTAACCAAAATTTTTAATCTAGAATTGTCAAGTCACAGCTAACATGCGTGATAATACCATTACAGTAGTCATAATAACCTTAACTATAATCCATATACGGCAACGCTGTGATGATTTTACTCAAGGTATCTGATACTCGGCAATTACTTACCTATTTTTGTCATATTCATAAATATGGGATTTCTTATTGTCAAACCAGTATTCAGAACTTGAAGTCAGTAGATATGAGTGATTGAATAGAAAATCACGTACAAATCACGGGAAGCGATTGGGCTCGCGATGTTCTTGATACATTCGTGCCGGGAATCTTCATAGCGTTTGACAGTAGTTCATGTTAATAATATAATAAGATAGGGGTTTCTAATACCTATCTTATTATATAATTTATGTTAGGTATAGAATTTTACGTTAAGCGATCCTTAATTTTAGAGAAAGACTATATATAAAGTCTATTTATTTGTTTGATATATGTACATATCGCACTGTTGATACAATAGTGTATTAACTCTAAAAGTGTATTTTCCCAGAATCAAATTTTAAAATTACAATTTTAAAATATTACTTCAAAGGTTGTAACATAATCGTCATTAATATGAACGATAATTGTGTCAAATTTCAATGAAGTCCAATAAAAAGACTAAAATTTCAATTTCTTTAAAAGAAATACTTCTACACTGTGTCTGTACCATTATCCAATAAAATTATTTTCAAATGGGTATAAAGCATTGTCATTTGTGCTACTTTCAGATTTGTGGGAAGTTTAATAGTACCCCCATATTATATTTTACTCAGTTTTAAGTAAACAGATAGACAAAAATTTTATTCACTTCCATCACAGCTTATTTACATTGAATCCACTAAAACTAACACTATAATCATTATTACTATCACTTAAAAATAACAAATTTTTATAACAAAAGCAACGTACAACTACGCATATAACTAATTAAAGTAAATAATTTTGGAAATATAGGCAGTGAAAAGGCGCTGGCTCAGCATAAATGACGCAATGTCCCACGACATTTGGTATTCTTCCAGAAATGTGTTAAAAGAGACGCCACTCAACATCTCAGACAGTCCTCTAGCGTTATCGTTTAAGTAGTATTGAGGATCGATGAACTCGCGGGTTTCTCGTTGCGAATTCGGTACAGTGCGCAGTGGGAAACGGATGTATCTCCCGCGTTTCGCAATGCAATACTATGATTCGCAATGCAAGAAATAATAAAGTATTTTTTGACTTGGAAGAGGTATTGCGTCTATGTAGGTAACCAATATTTATCAAAATAACATTTTTTAAAAGCTTACTTGATTTGCAAATATTAGATAAGTAAGTGATGTAATTATGTAACCCACGGCAAGTTAGTCTACGTAGTCAAAGCGTCGCCTTAATCGACCTGTGTTGATATTATTTAGGGATACATATTAGTTTGGAACTTATGTACTTGCAAAGATAAATTGGCTAACCGACCACAGCTCGGGTGAGCCACATTTTAACCACACTTTTAAGTATCGTTGTAAACATTCATCTATATATCCACAAGTATGTCTCATGGTTTTGGAAATTATTACAAACGTTATAAATTAAGAAAACTTGTAAGTCACTGCCTTTATAAATTACAGGTACGGCGAAGTGAAGAAAAAGGAAAATGCTTGCTCCTATAAACAACAACCGGCAAATAAAATGAAAGTCAGTTCTCAGAATAGTCTAGAGGATGTGTTAATGCGCTGTCATTGAGGAAAAAGACATCTATTTACTTTTGACAGATGTAGATTTACCTTGAAGTTTAGATTTCATTTATTAATGAACACCATTTTCTAATTGATTCACGGCTTGAAAAATATAAAATCAGCAAAATAAATTAGACTCTCATTGTTGAAGGAGACAATACCTTCATAATTCGGCAAAACATACTAATTACACAGAACTCGATAAAGTATACAAAGATATCATCTAGAGGCAGCTGTTACAATTCTTATATTACACGTAATAGTTTAATGGACTGTTTTAAAAGAAATTAAAGATCATAATTTGCGAACGTTAAAACTTTGACAAAGAAATACGCAAGAAATTACACTGCAGTGAAATTAATTAGTGCTTATTTTGACTAACTTAATGTGTTTCATAATACTGGCATACTGATTAGTATAATAATAATAAGTGTCAGTTCGTAATATTTGTTTCTGTTAGATTGTCATAACCGCAAAAGGAATGTAGCGAGTTTATCTCCATTTTTTATTTATTGCTCACGCTTTTGGATTTCCATTGGGGTGGATAGAGACTATCGATAGCCACTTAGCACGATCCTGACCTCTCTTGCTTCATTTATATTTATCAATTTTTTCATACGGACCCTCTTATTCGTCTCACTACGCACCTCAGCCCTTTCAAGAACACTCTCAATTTGATCTGAGAATGTTCTTCGTGGCCGTCCTGTTCTAATGATGCCTTACACATGAACTCTATATATTTCCTTCGTTAATACACATTTATTTATCCGCTCCAAGTACCCAAATCACCTCAACATACCCTTTTCCATTTTTGTCACTACGTCTTTCAAACCATATTCTTCACAGTATTTTTCACTCTGTGACATAATCCCACTTGCATACCTTTCTGGGGGATCTCATTTCTATTAAATTCACTGTACGTACTCTCATCCTTCTTCTGCCATACCCAACACTCATTCCCATACATTAGCGTCGGAACCAACACATCATTATATACCTCCACTCGTGCCTACTCAGATACAGACTGGTTACACATCACTCCCTTTGTAGCCCTTTTCACCGCATTTCCCTGTTTTATCCTTCTTTCAAATGCCTTTTACACATTTACAATTTGTCTTCCTTCCGCATTAGCTCGCTTTTGTTCTACTGTAATAACACTTCGTTATTGTAAGTATTATCTTTCGTTATAAACTGAACTGTTTCAAGGGATATTTCTGATTGTCAATCGCGTATTGTTCCCACTAGTCTGGCGTTGAGATTCTTGTTGGTATAGTTCAACTTTCCAGGACGTCCGTTTCCTTTGTGCAAAATTTTGCATACGCCCGTGAAGTCGCTACGACATTTTTGTATCGAAAAATGTTGACGTCTTCTTTTTAGCTCGATTATATAACTTTAAAAAATTTTTATGTGAAATTGTACTAGCAAATTACGAAGTTTGTATGCAATGTCATATTCTATATCGGCAGTGATTGGCTTCAATAACTGTTTATAATCATTGCCTTTGCGTGATCACAGCGTCATAGTTTTATTATGTCCTGATAAAATAGAACTTAATAGTAAAGCATATTTGAGCCAACCCATTAGCAATTAATTGCACAAGGTTTAAGTCTTATTATTATGACCCAGTGTGAAACACAGCATGTTTAAGATTGCAATTAAACTCGAAGGCTTCGTGGCAATTATGAACATGTGATGGGATGTAATAAACGGTGACCGCAAACGAAGTTATGTGGGCGCCGCTGTACTCGTGTTATCAGCCCATAGAATTCAAATATAAGAAATAAAACTAGAAAAAAGAACATGATCTGCTTAGATACTAGGTGACTATGCTGTCATGTCTGGCAACAAAATGCTTGAAAAATGTTTAACAATGCTCGCCATTTCTAACAAACTTCGCGTTTGTATAAAAATAGTCTGTTGTTCGTTTTCTACCAGTATTTTTTGGTTTTACATATTTCATAGATAAATAAATGAAACTCACCTAAGAAGAAGGTTAAGGGAGCTATCATTCCTCGTGGTCGGAACGTCTTTCACGCTAGATGGTTCGCTGCGTACACCTCGGAGAGACAGCCTCAGCTGCCGCGGGATAGAGCTCAGAAGACCGTTGCTGCTGTTTCTCCGCTGGTTCAGGCTCTTGGACCTTGTCAGCTTATTTGCCTCCAAGTCCAAAACTTGGGGGTGCCCCGACACCTCTTCGATGGTAGTACTCGACGCGTTGGTCTTCACAATAGAAGGAACAGCATGCTTTACATCTCCTAACAGCTTCTCCCACGGCGAGGCGAGGTCTTCTTCCGAGATAGTCTCGAAGCTCCTCGGGCCCACCGACGACGACGTTTTATCAGACATTTTCTATTAAAAGAGCACGGAACGTAGCACTAACAGACTACCTACAGGGCACTTCGTCACTTTGGGTTTTTAGTTTCTTGGCAACACTTCACTCTTATCATAATATCCATTTGTAAATCATAATGTTTGGGGTAGAAATGTTGACACTGAAACAATAGAAAGAATAAAATTACTTAATTGGCTCTCTTGTTCAATCTCTGTTATCGATAAATGAAAATCGGAACGTCACATGGTAATTGTAAATATATAATGAAACTAAAAAGCCTCGACAAAGAGGCCATTATGTCGTAATTTTGAAATCACAACCTGAGACCGTGATCGAATGTAATTTACTTTCATTAGAACTTTCAACTTTTACTTTGGCTGAAATTTTGTATATGAAATTGTGTGTTCTTACGTCGAATGGGTGAAAATTTACGCTCTGTTTGATTTGACTGTATTCACAATAGAGATTGCGAAATGACTTGCTATATAAATTACTAACGTAATCTAATGACAGGATGGCAGAGACACGTCTAGATAAAAGTTAGGTTAGGTTAACTTGGTGTTCAATGAATACAGTGACATGAAATCTAATTTAATAATTAAGTACTAAAGGTATTAAGAAATTAAGGAATACTTCATTATTTAACTAGCTACGCATTCAAGAGTGACACGTGTGCGGCCTCGTTTAGAATAGATATATATATATATATATATTACGGTACGACTTATTATCAAATTGATACATATCCAACGCTGTCACGGTTATCAATCGACACCCTAACGCATATACCTATCTACTTATTCTGAGACTACGTACTTAAAAGCTTTTTTAATACTCAACAAGACGAACTTTCCTAACGATCTCTACTTCACAACAACCGTACGTGTGCTATTATTTGAAGAGAAAGGAGATATTACGCGTAAAGCCAAGCACTGGAAATTAAACATACTCATTAAACAGAGAAGACTGTTGGTATGCCTAACTATCAATTACACCGAAATAACACACCTTATTTGCATTTAGAAACTTACATTAAAAATACTCATTCGCAATCTCCTAATTACCTATACTTAAAATTATTTTTTTATGATTCTTAATGGCAAGTTTGCCTATAATAAAGAAATAATTATTGTGAAAGTAGGTCTGTGTGTCCTTCATAATCTAAATAAGTAAAGTATACATAGATAATTAAACAAAAAGAAAATCGAAAAATTACAACGAATTACGTAATATTTAATATGAATAATCGATTAAATTAAAGTGAATTAAAGTTTATACCCTCCAGGCAATACGAGAATGTAGTCAGAATACTGTCTTAACTATTCTTTAATTGCTCAAGTACCGATCACGGTGATTTTCGCGAAAGTTAAACGTGTTCCTAATGCGAGCCTTACAGAAAATCATTGCAAGGAAATGGGTTGGTGAAAGTTTGAGGTAATTTCGCGGTCAAAAGCTGCGTTTTTTAGCAATTCGGTTCGGTTGTACCGGACCACACCACGAAGTAATTCAAGCATAAATTTGTCAAAAAAATGTTCTTAGAAACGACGATGACGTTTCTGTCTAAATTATCTTCGCTTCCGTGAAAGTTAATCTCTGAACTGAAGCCAAAATGAGCTTCTAACTGTCCGTCTTCACTCAGGTTCTTATATCATAATTTGATCGCATTCTGTTTACAATTCGCAAGCTTTGTTTGCAAAAGAAAGTGTCCTTAGAAACATAATACAGAATTGTATGTATAAACTACATAGAAAAGTTTCCAGAACACTTTTATGGACCCATTTGTACCTTATGCACCGCACTAAAAGGTTCACTTTATTTTAAAATCAGTGTCGTCTCACACGAATATGAATGAGTCGAGGCAACTTACAATCAAAGCAGATATTATTGGAAGTTACAAAAATTACATTTGAAAGAAAATTTCAAAAGAGAAATTATTCCCAGCGGAAAAATTTTTGCAGTGTGTAAGTGCTGGAAACGTTGACTAATCATTTTATTAATTAGTATTTAAATATTCACATGGTACTACATGGACAAGCCTCATTCATTACATCGTCTATTATCACATGTTCAAAGGCCTTGCAATTGAAATTTAAATCGATAGCGAGCATTAATTTTATTATATCTGCTCATAGAGTTATATGTTGTAGTGCAGGTGATGAAAAGTGTGTAAACTTAGAAGAATTTAATAAAATAAATCAATTTCGAGTTCTTAGGTATTCGCAATTGTTCCACATTGGAAATGAAACTATTTATTCGGATAGATCGCGTTTATTTGTTTTCTTTTCAAATGAAAAGTAAACCGATGAATATCGACATAATTTGCCAGGACTGGTAGCTGTAAAGGTACTAACTGGGTGATAAAACTTTCATAGATTTCTCATAGATGGCGCTACGACTAAAAAGTCGTTGAAAAACCAAATACACGACGCAAGCACATAGAAAAATTCGTGAGGTCCGCTGGTTCGTTCCGTGGCTTAGTTGGTATAGCGTCTGGCACGGTAAGCCAGAAGACGTCGGCGTCGCACAATGGAAAATGGTAGAACAACAGCAGCCCATAAATGGTTTTCACCAAAGTCTGAATTAATATGCAAAATTAATTTTATTTCATAGTTTAGATATCATACTTCAATATAATGTAGGTTTTTATAGGTTAGATAAATAGGTTCATTTTAAAAAACACTTCAAATATGTCCTTTCAAATATTCGCGTTACTGCGCCGTAAAATATTGCAACTTTCGACATCACAATTCTTATTGATTTTGTTAGATAAGACATATGCTATTATATATTTTTACAAAGGGAGTTTTATGTAGATTTCAAAAAAGTTTGCAATTTTAAAATTTATTGTGCAATGTATTTTTTTTATTTTATTTAAGAAATTGGAGATTAATGCCGGTTTTTATCAAATTCATCGAGAGTTTTGACTGTTAGCCAAGCTTGCCCAAGCTTCGAATTTTGTATTATTTCATAGAATAGGTATTCGTTATCACTTTTTCATAGAAATCAGCTGCGGTTTTTTGCGGTTTCCAAAGATACGACAAAAATTAGAACATGTGTCCTACCACAGAAAAATATCCTTATCGCGCTACGATAATGAAGATGTGGTTGCATTTATCATATTTATCATTATTTTTCACACTACACTATGGCTATATAATGCTCTGTCAATCATTTCATTTTTAAACATTTGCCATATTTACATACAGTAAATATACAAGCAGTCGTTTGTCGCTGAATATATTTTTCAACTTATTTGAAAATGAGTGCTTTTAAATGTTCGAGACGAGAACTAATACTTCCCTATATTGAAGGTGGAAGAAATGATACGGCTCTCGAAACATTTTTACGAGATTGCTTTAATGTTTCGGAGGACAATTTACGTTTAATAATTAGTGATTTTAAAAAACATTTGCTAACACAATTTAACAGTCGATGGAGCAAAGCATCACGAAAGAAAGAAGCCTTTTTGAGGGTTAACAGTGATTGGTTGGATCAAGAGTTTTCTGTTTCTTTGCCTACGATAACCGATTCCACTCCATCTACTTCAACTGGTAAACGAGGAAGACCATGTCTGTCTTATGAAAATTCTTCAGAATCTAGTAAGAAGCGCAAAAATACAACACTCCTTAGTGAATATGGATTCGAACATATCTTTGGTGCATATATTCAAGGGCTGCGAGCAAAGGAAGAAAGCAATGAAGCTAAAATTGTGGAAGCATTAAGATCTGCAGATGCAGAGAAAAAGAATTCAGTGCTAAAATTAATGGACAACTCTTACAACATTCAAAAACTGAGCGATCAAGAAGCATTAAGTGTATTTATTGAATTGGATTTGACCAAGGCGCAATATTTATACTTGAGGAATATAATGGACGAACGAAACTGTCCCATACTGCCATCTTATTACAAAGTACAAAAAAGTAAACAGAACTGTTACCCACCTGCAACAGCTATTGAAATTACAAACACACATGCAAAAATGCTATCTCTGCAGGATTTATTAGACCACACAACAGCGAGGATATTGATGATAGACTCCGTGTACAAAAACGGTTTGAAACAGTTGATTTTATACAGTAAATGGGGATGTGATGGCTCGTCTGGCCAAAGTGAGTATAAACAAAGACTTCCAGAGGAGTCTGAACTTGTGTCAGACTCACACTTATTCGTCACATCTGTTGTGCCCATCAGATTAATTGATGAAACAACTGGTTTTGTTGTTTGGCAAAATCCTGTGCCTTCATCCGTCAGATTCTGTCGTCCTATATTAATAGAGTTTTCGAAAGAAACTCCCGAGAAAACAAAAGCTGTTGTTAGCGATATTCAGACTCAAATTAATGCTTTGAGTCCATCATTGATTGTCAAGGAAGGCAATGGCGTTCAAGTTAAACATGAACTTTTTTTGACAATGATAGATGGCAAAGTGGCCCAGGTATTAACCGATACTCCTTCTAGTTCCACATGTACTATTTGTGGTGCTACTCCACGTCTAATGAATAATTTAGAAAATGTAACTGCTAGGCCCGAAAATGAAAATGCTTTTCGTTATGGATTATCAACACTACACGCCTGGATTCGCTGTATGGAGATGATTTTGCATATTTCTTACAATCTTTCGTTTCAAAAGTGGTCAGCTACGAGTGACGAAAATAAACGAATGAAACAAGAAAAGAAATCAATGGTACAAAGACGCTTTCGAGAAGAGCTTGGATTAATCATTGACAAACCACGACAAGGAGGCGGAAATAGCAATGACGGTAACACTGCGAGAAGGTTTTTTTATAACACTGCCTGCTCTGCTGAAATTACAGGAGTCGATGAAATTTTGATTAAGCGACTCTACGTAATCCTTCAAGCGTTATTATCTGGCATAATGATAGATTCCCAAAAATTTGGGGAATATGCTTTGGAAACCGCAAGAATATACGTCAGTAAATATGTTTGGTATTATATGCCATCTTCGGTTCAAAAAATATTGATTCACGGAGAAGGCATAATTAATCATTTTGCAGTGTTACCTATCGGACAGCTTTCGGAAGACGCTCAAGAATCTCGTAATAAAGATTACAAAAAATTTAGACTACACCATTCAAGAAAGTGCTCAAGATCTGCTACGAATGAAGACGTATTTCACACGTTGCTTTGTACTTCTGATCCATT